CTGAGAAAAACAGAGAAAGGGACAAATCAGTGGCACACAGTCCCCTCCAAGGGCACCCCTACAAACCAGTGACTGGTAGACCTCCACCTAGACCTCAATTTTTAAAGTTTTCACCATCTAGCAACAGTACCAAGCTGAGAGAAAACCCAGGCTAACCACGCAGGCTTTGGGGAGATATGGAGGATCTAGACTGTAACACCAAGCTATGCTGAATCTACTCTGAAATGCCTCCATTTCCAAACCTGTCCGCTGATGACTCAGGATCACCAAGCCTATTCTACTGCTCCATTCATTGCCCTATTAAAATTACCTTTTCCCTTTTAGTCTTGGAAGGAGTAGGCCAGTTTCTGCTGGCAAATTCATTTCACTAAGAAGTTAATGTTCAGTGTTCCTTAAAAGTGATGAACCCAGACACATATGTAATGCTTAACATATTATGCCCAGATGGTAACCACTAGCTGCATGTGGCTGTTTAATTTTAATTACTATCAACACAGAAAATTTGACTCAGTGTTGCCTTAACGTAAAGACATTTACTCTAATAGTGGATTGTGAATGAAACCATTATTTCTGTGAGAAATGCTCCCTCTGCTAAAAATTAATACTGTAAGCACTGTAGGCATACAATCAGGATTTGGGGCAGGGGAGCCTAGATGAAGGAAAGATGACCATCCTTGACAAATGTCATTGTGTTCCAGGGCTTGGGCAGAGGTAGCCAAATAGAAATAAAATAGGCAGGCATTCTCTTTTCAGATTAGCAGGAAATATTTCAGTACACCACTTTATAGATGATCAGAGACTAAAGAGATTAATTTTAAAACCAGAATTCAAAATCAGTCTATCTGTATTCCAGGGTTCTTTTCATTATGCCATGCTACTGGTAAATCAGTCAATAAAGAAACACAGGACTAGCGACCATAGTTCTTCAAAGCATACAGATTTTCTCCAAAGTAAGGTTCAAAGCTATGTCAATGTAGAGCAATACATAATTTTTGACTTTTTAATTTTTGAGAGAACTGTAGCTTCCCATTAAGCTATAACAAACAAGAGATATCTGTGTGCCATTAGATGTTTTTCCGTCTCCTAGATTCTAGATTGTTCCTTGGTACTGGAGCCACAGAGATAAGATTTCCCTCACTCTTCACAATTCTAGTGGAACTAGTCATGGTGGCACAAGCCTATAGATCCAGCACTTTGGGAAGCTGATAGTAAGATTGAAAGCTCACACCCCAGCTGGTGAACTTAACAAGAGACTGTCACAAAGGAAAGAAATTAAAAATTGTTGGAGAAAAAAAAGTGCTGGAGAAACAGCTCAATGTGAAAGCCTTGAGATCAATCTCTAATACTGGGGCAGGGGAAGCTAGTTGGTAACACCCAAATGTACCATTAGAATTAATTAAGGCAAAAATGTAATGCCATTTTCACCAATCTTGTAGCAAATAATAATGAAGTGCTACAATGCCATTCTAGATAAGCAACGATAACACAGATGCCTAACTTCTCTGTGCCACAGTGTTCTGATCCATAAAGTAGGGGTACCAGTGGTACCTGTTATAGCATTGGCGCAAGCATTAACCTGGTATAGTATCTGAGCATTCGAGTTATTCTTAACATTGTATGATCATTAGCTTTCTCCTGCCCATTTTGAAATTGCTCCTATGCAGTTTTCATGCAGAAAAGGGCTTAGTCACTCTTTGTTAAAATAAGTATGTCATACTGTAGGCTGGTTGTACACACTCTTTTAGATGAAAACACCTAGAGGGTACACAATTCACCTTGGAAAAACAAGGATATCTCACCAAAGGGTCATTGAAAGGAAGACTTCATCTGAACTGATTTTGGAAGACTAAAGATTGAGGGAGAAGAAAAGAAAATTCAAGGCAAAAGAAACATTAAGCAAAAAAAGGCCTTGACTCTTGGGAATTTAATGCCGGAAGAAAGCCCGAAGATAGGCCAGTCTTGCTTGTCACCCCTGCAGGTCTTCTTTGGAGTGCATTCATAGGTTCTTTAATGGACTTTCCCATTGATGAACTACAGACCCACTCAGAGAAAAATCCAAGCAATGTGTCCACACTGGCATAGGTATCTGGGGAGTGAGGCACTTAAGCGCGGTTGACCAAGGCAGTATGATAGCACTGCCTACTGCATACTGTGCTGTTGTGTTCAGATTTAAAGACACCTTACAAACATGACTAAAACTGGGTGGCTTTGAAGTACAATGGCTGTGGAAGTGTTGGAAATTGAGGTAAGAAGTCACATACCACTTTGGTGAAAAGGGGAAAAATTTAAAAAAAAAAATCAAAATGTTATACTTTTTTTGATAATTGGTTCCAAAGGAAAAAAATAAATACATGCATGCAATGTGTCGAAACTGTGATGACAGCACTAAGCATTCTACAAAGCAAGTGCGAACCACGAAAATGGTGAAGCACATGTCTGGAGAAGCAGCACCAATAGTGTATGCGGACAGGAGCGCACTGGAGACACATTTATGAAATAAAGAGCTGAGCCTGGCACAAAGCTTTGTCATCAGCCTGTGGGGCTGAGGCCCACTGTAGGCTGAACACATCAGTGAGTGTTGTGCTTGTGGGTGTGGACCCCATCACTACCGTTATCCTTCACCATAACTTTAATTTTTTATGCTTTTAAAATTTTATTCTTTTTTATTACTATTTTTATGGTATTTTGGGGGGATGGGGTTGGTACTGGGGATTGAACTCAGGACCTTGTGCTTACCAGGCAGGCACTTATGCTGCTGAGCTATCACCCCATCCCCCATCACCATAAATTTAAAATGTAATCAAAACTGAACTACCTACCGCTTATGGCAGAAAAGCACCACTGATTAGTGAGAAAAGGACAGCTTATTTAATTAATGTGTTGGAGTATCAGGACAAAAACTTCAAAAACCAAGTTGGGTCCCTACTTCACTCTTCTCATCAAATTTTCTCCCAGTGATCAGTTTTTTTAAATTTGAAAAACAAAACTTTGAGAAACATTTTAAGAATAAGTGAAAAAGACTTTGCTAATATGACACAGCATCTGGAAATAATAAAACTAAAGTTGTGCATGGGATAATCTCACCAAATAATAAGATTAGAAAAAGTATTTCCAATCTCTATCATAGGTGAAGGATTTGTTCCCTAATTTATTAAACTCTCCTATAAATTGATAGGAAAATGTCAACAACTGAGTGAAAAATATGAACAAAATGTATGAATACCAGTCCCCAAAATAAATATAATAGCTCTAACATTTTTTCACATGTAAAAAAGCCCTACAACTTAAAATTAACTAGTGCACCAGTTTCACCTATAAAACCAGTAGAGTTCAAAAAGTGTGCAAATACATTTCAATTCATTGATGGAGAATTGTAAATTACTAAAACTTTTATGGAAGAAAAACTTTGACCCTATCTATCAAAATTTCAAATATGCAATCTTTGACCCCTAACACTTATTTTTCATATACTTTGGACACATGTAAAATAGTATATGTGTAAAGTTATGCATTGATCCATTATTTATGAGAACAAAGATAGAAAACAACCTGATCATCTATCACAACTTATTTTTAAAAGGAGACAAATTTCTTTCTGTTCAGATATAAAAATGCCTCTCAGAGTTGACCAGAGAAAAGCTAAGGACACAGCATTCTACAATCTGTGAATAAGCGCGAGTCAGACAGGATGGCTGGACATGGGTAGATATTTGCTTGTGTGTGTTTAGAACATTCCTGAAAGCACAGCCAGAGAACAGGCTTCCTTGGAAACACACCTATTGGCTGCAGTGAGGGGTGGGAGAGAGGTAAAGCTTTTACTGTGATGTGTCTTTGCATCTCTGAATTTTTTGTATCATGAACATATATTAGCTATTCAAAATGAATTGAATCGAAGTTTGTTCCCCAAGAAAAACATTCATCGCCTCCTCTCTGCTCCACCGGGTTTTGTTTTGTTTTTTGGCAGAACTGGGGATTGAACTCAGGCCCTTGCGCTTGCCAGGGAAGCACTTATGCTACTGAGCCACCTTCCGGGCCACTCCTACTCCACCTCTTCATTCCACCTGTTGGGATGCCATCCTCGCACAGTACATCACCAATGAACCCATGGGATCCTTGAGTGCTGCCAGTGCCTCCTCCAAGTGGGCTTTCCATTATAAAAAGTTGTTTTTTAAAGTTATGTTCTTAAGGATGATAAACACCCTTTTCATCAAAGGAAGTGCGGCATACATGAGGCCCCAAAATACTCTTTTGATCAATCCTGAGACTGTACTTGGAAACAGCTCTTTTAAGAGAAACAAGCTGAAACTGACTTCAAGAACTGAGGACTCCAGAGCAGTGCTGTTGAGAACACATGCAGCTAAACGTGATTACGGGAGTGGATGGAAAGACGGTTTACGATCTTGGAGGACCTAAAAAACAACAAAGTTACCCTCAGAGGGAAACCAGCTTGCCCTGAAGTCACCATTCTGTGCTGTTTGCTTCCCCTGTTGAATGGTGGGTTGACCCAGGCTGCAGTCTCTCTCCGTCCTTAAGCTCCAAGACACAGACATATGCTATAGCTACTTCAGTTGATTTTATCTCAGCACACGTTCTCTAAGCGCTTCCTAAGGCCAAGGTTGACCGACATTTTTATTAGCAATAATCCCTGCCTCCTGCTGATTATCTGGAGATTTAAGACCACGTAATCATCCTCCTGTGAGACGGGGGCGGGGAGAGAGAGAAGCGGCTAAGAGGCCTCCAATCCGCCCTAACACTTCTTCACTATCCCCAAGATTAGTCGCAGTGCTCTGCAGGCTGTTCTCAGATCAGCAGCCCAGGCCGGGCTGCCCAAGCCAGGAAGGGCTCTGAGGGCTGTGCCTGGGGCTCTAGGTCTGCTGATGCTGGCTTGTGTCTCTAAGACAGGGCGCCGCATGTCACTGGGCCTCCCCTAGAGCCAGGGAGTGGGTGAGGGACCCTCCAACCACCAGCAGAGACGAGCAAGGAGTCCACCTGCTGCCGTCATGCTGAAGCAAAGCAACAAGAGGAGACGGTCTTGGAGCTCCAGGCGCTGGGGTCTCTCCGAGTGCCAGGGGGAGCCGTACACCGGCAGCGGACCACACCGCCAGAGCGTCTGCTCCACCGGGGCTCGGTCTGGCTCCCAGGCCAGCATCACCCCATGGGTCGAGGGCAACTATAACTACTACATCGAGGAGGATGAGGACGCGGGGGAGGAGTGGAAGGACGAGGACCCTGCTGAGGAGGACAAGCTGCGGGAGGAGGTCACTGCTCTCCAACACGGTGAGGGCGCCGACACACCAGCCCAGTTGTCCACGCTCAACGTGAACGTGGGCGGCCACAGCTACCAACTGGACTACTGCGACGTGGCCGGCTACCCCAAGACGCGCCTGGGCCGCCTGGCCACCTCCACGAGCCGCAGCCGACAGCTGGGCCTATGCGACGACTACGAGGCCGGGCCCGACGAGTACTTCTTCGACCGCGACCCGGCCGTGTTCCAGCTCATCTACAACTTCTACACGTCCGGGGTGCTGCTGGTGTGCGACGAGCTGTGCCCGCGCAGCTTCCTGGAGGAGCTGGGCTACTGGGGCGTGCGGCTCAAGTACACGCCCCGCTGCTGCCGCATCTGCTTCGAGGAGCGGCGCGACGAGCTCAGCGAGCAGCTCAAGATCCAGCGGGAGCTGCGCGCGCAGGCGCAGGCCGAGGAGGCCGAGGAGCTCTTCCGCGACATGCGCTTCTACGGGCCGCAGCGCCAGCGCCTCTGGAACCTCATGGAGAAGCCCTTCTCCTCGGTGGCCGCCAAGGCCATGGGCGTGGCCTCCAACCTGTTCGTGCTCATTTCTGTCGTGGCGCTGGCGCTCAACACGGTGGAGGAGATGCAGCAGCAGGCCGAGCAGGGCGCGGGCGGCGGCGACCCGCGGTCCCTCCTGGAGCACGTGGAGACGCTGTGCGTGGCCTTCTTCACGCTGGAGTTCCTGCTGCGCCTCGTCTCCACGCCCGACCTGCGGCGCTTCGCTCGCAGCGCCCTCAACCTGGTGGACCTGGTGGCCATCCTGCCGCTCTACCTGCAGCTGCTGCTCGAGTGCTTCACGAGCGAGGAGCAGCGGCAAGGCAAGGGCTCGGCGCGCGAACACGACCTGGAGACCGTGGGCCGCGTGGGCAAGGTGGGCCAGGTGCTGCGCGTCATGCGCCTCATGCGCATCTTCCGCATCCTCAAGCTGGCGCGCCACTCCACGGGGCTGCGCGCCTTCGGCTTCACGCTGTGCCAGTGCTACCAGCAGGTGGGCTGCCTGATGCTCTTCATCACCATGGGCATCTTCGCCTTCTCTGCTGCTGTCTACTCCGTGGAGCACGACATGCCCGGCACCAACTTCACCAGCATTCTGCACGCCTGGTGGTGGGCGGCCGTGAGTACCGTGGCTTTGGCCCTCCCGTCCTCTGCCTCGCCCCACAGAAAGAAGCTACTGCTTCTGTCTCTGTCTCTGTCCCTGTCCCTGTCCTTGTCTCTGTGTCTGTTTCTATCTCTGTCTCTGTCTCTATCTTTGTCTCTGTCTCTGTCTGCCTCTGCATCTGTCCCTGTCTCTCTCTCTTTGGTCGTAACCTCTCAGCTGTGTCTCCTGGTCTTTCTCCTCCCTTGCAAAACAACACTACTCTCTTCATCCTGTCACTGCCTTCAGCCAACAGAATGCGGGTGGAGGCTGAGGAGTTGGAAAGACAGAAACACTATAGTTTAATGAATAAAGAAATCTGACGTGGTCCTAAGAGTCCTGCAATCCAAATGCAGTCTGTAAAATGCTTCACAGGCAGGCTTTCAGGCAGATCTACTATTCGTGGATGTGGGCTGCTTCTTTACCAGCATAACCACTTGTTTAAGTAAAACAATTTTTAAAAGAATTTATTGAACATACAATATTCTCGATGACTTATAAATCTTATTTAAGCATCTCAACTCTGTAAGGTGGTTGTCACTGCTTTAAAAAAATAAAATAAAAGGAACAAATAGGAAGCAGCTTCAGTTTTTGAAGGAAACTATAGGTTCACGCAGGGAAGGAGGTGGGATTTGGCTGAACAGTGTTGTTTTGAACTGAAATCCCACTGCCTCTGCTTCTCATTAAATCTAAAGCTGACAGTAGCTCTGCCCTTTCAGAACCAGGTAAGACTGTCTAATTTTATTGCAAAGGGACATGGGGTGCAAGAAGTTCAGTGTAAGCACACAGCTAACAGTGGCAGAGCCGAGCTTGAAATGCGAATCTGCCCAACTCCAAAATCTGAGCCCTTTTCACTGCAGCACTGTCTTTCAAGCTTTGGTGCTTTCACATGCTTTGCTTAATTTGGTCGGTTACTTCACCAGTTACTTTTGTCTCTTTGCATTTACTTTTTTATAATAATTCATGCCATTTACTTAAATACATGTGTTCCTGGTATACTAGCTTTATCCCTGCAAATAAATGCTAACAGTTTTCCCAGCTCAGTGAATAAACTGGCATATGTGGGAAAGAATTAGATGTGTTTGCTCTTTTTAAAAAGTAGATTGTAATGCCTGTCAAGATATTAAGCAAACATAAAAAGAATTCAGGTATTTTGAACATCCCCCCCCCCTCCCCACATGATGTTAAAACCCATAGTCTGGTGTGAAATTCTGCAGAGCAAACCTGCCAACAATTAACTGTGGCTCGAAGCAAGTGTGAAACCATACTCCCTCATCCCTGCCATCCCTTTCGGCATCTGGAAAAAGAGAGGTGGACTTGCAGAGCTTTACAGTTCAGTGAGTCTTCCTTCCCTTGAAAGCAGAGAGCTCATATGGGCACCAGGACGTGTGAGCTTTCTTTGGTTCAGAACGACACTGGCCTCTTATGAATGAGGTAGCTGAATGGAACCCTTCTGATCATATTTCAAGTGAGGAAAGGTCATCCCCATAGCAGATAAACCATGTGTACAGATGGGGCCCGTGGAAGACGGTTTGTCCCCAGCAAATGACATTGACTTTGGAGGTGACTATAGCAGGAAGGCAAAAAAAAAAAAAAAAAAAAATCTACATGCTGATGATACAATAGCATGTTCAAATTTTCATACATCCAGATATCTTAAAAGGCTAGTATACAGGCCCTGGACCAAGGCAACTTTTTCATACTAGTTTTAACCCACAATTCTTTTAAAATCTTATATAGATTAATATAAATCTCTTACTAGAATTATATTATTAATGATGGATTTTTATTTTTAAAATATTCCCTGAAGTGATTGTCTATTGGTCTAGTTAACATTGTGAATGTATAACGTGCAGTAATGTTTGACTTTCAGAGTATTCCCTATTTATGTTAACTGACACAGTTTACTATAGATCAGTGTTTTCTATCAATTTTACAATAGAAGTTAATAATCACCCAGCTGTTGTCAAGAACCTCGTGAGGTGGTTTTACTTTTTTTTTTTTTAATGGCAGTATCTCTTGACAATATTTTCATGTTTTCTCCTAGTTTTGCACATTTTAACTTTCCCATTTTCCAAACTTACCCCTTATTAATGACCTTCATTTACTTGATTCATTAGTATAAATCCTAATGAATTAGATCAATTGTTGATAACTTCTATTATTTTCTCAATGAATCTATGAACCCAGTAGGAGTCCTTTCTTAAGCATTCCATGATAGCTCTATACCCCAGAATTGATGTTATTAATGAATGTATTTCTGGTTGCCTTGCATAGTATACTGAGGATTTGTCCGAAAGACTACCATAAAGTTGATTCAAAATGTCTTAGTGCTTAAATGTAGGTGCAAGGTAATATAATGTGGAATATTGCAACAACTTTCTCACATAACCCACAAAAATCTTTTCCTCTTCAAGTTCCTTAGCACCTCCAATATGCCAACATTATTCTAAGTACTAAGGATATAGACTGATAGAAAGGAAAAAGGATCTTTCCATCATAGAATATATGGAGACAAATACTAAATAATTTCAGATATTTCTGTGTCTTGTGTAGGATACTATGGTAGTAATTTGGATGGTAGGATCATCCTTGGACGGCATAGTCAGAGAAGCCCTCTTGGAGAGGGAGACATTAAGATAAACTTTCAATTATGAGAACAAACTCATCGGAATACTCATGAATGAAAGGAGATGAACATCTGAGAAATAGAATCCAAAAGTAATTCTGGATCCAGAGGTCTCCAAGGGTTCTGTTGATTATACATCTCAAATTTTTTTAACAGATTTGAGTGTGAACCCAAGGTAAATATAAGTTACTTATAAATGAACAAACAAGTTATTTGTGACCATAGTAACAATGTATCAGAAACTATTCCAAAACTCAGTATTCCGTTACTACATGAGTATAAAAGTGAGCAGTTTAGTCTGTTTTTTTAAGAGAAAGGTTATCCTCATTTGGGGTCACTCATTCTCATGACTGATGGTCAAAGGGATGGCACACAGAATGAGGGGAGAAAATGTGTCCCTCAACTTCCAACAGCCATATGTCTACGTCAGTGGCAAAGGGGAAGAGGCAGAGGTCAGGCCCCATCATGTAAGCATTGTATTGCTTCTGTTCAGATTTGCTCAGCAGGTAGTGAGTCACAGGGCCACACTCAGTCAGGGGGTGGGGCGGGTTAGCCACCTGTGCTAGGAAAAGAAAGGGCTGTAAAATTAAATGACAAACAGCTGGAACTAGAGGAAGTTACAGAGAATCAAGTCCAATAATACAATCATTCTACTGTGCTACTATGTTACTGCTCAAATACATTGTACTCATCAGAAAACATATATTCACAAATTGACAGTTTCACCAGGAAATAAAGAAAAATGTGACTGCTGTTTTCTTTCCCTACTCTAGAGCGATTTCCCTTGTGCAGTCTTGATTCCTTAAAGAATCCATGACACAGATTGTTTAACCCAGTCTATGTATTTTTTGTACATTCTGAAAAGCAACCTGAATCTGACTTGCTTGTAATAATCTTCCCTCTTTCTATGCCAAAAAATCCTTCTTCTGTAATTCAACTCAGGGTTTGAAGAGGACTACAGTCAGTTTCAGTTTCATTATTATGAATTGTCCCCCAGCTGCAAGACAAATTCCTCATGGACTCTTATACCTGCAAAGGCTCATGCCTTAGGATGTGAGAAAGATCCATCTTACTCATCTGCTAGAGGTTATTGGTGAGCCCTAATATAATAAGAAACATGCAAGATGTTAGGATCTAGTACATCTGCAATTAATAGCAGTTATAGTACCTGACTAGTTGATATTTTTTATTATGTGGAAGCAATAACCTTTGCTTCCAGATTCATTTTGGCAGAATGGAAATAGAGTGATTTCTTCTCTACTGAAAGAAGGCAGACTCTGAAACATACAAAAGGATCAGCTGTTCTCTCCAAAGACAGCTTCTGTGTACACAGACCAACTGGCCACACCTGGAGCAGCTTCAGCCATTGGGAGCTCTCTGGGTTGTCTGGGAATGGGAAGTGCAGCATACAACTCAACAAGAACAATTAGCTCTATGATAAAGCTGTAGCCATTGCCCTCCTGTGTGGGTGCTTTTAAGCAATAAAGGGCAATTAGACCGTCAGCATGTCATTTGCTTCTCAGCCTTTCAGAAAAAAAACTAAAGTTGTACAAACAAAATAGGAAACTGTGGCATGAATTTATTACTTGAAAAATTCTCCAGAAAAAAAATATTTATCGAAGCTGAGATGCTAGAAAATTGTGCCCAAGAGACTGTGCTCCAAGCTTTGCTTTCCTAAAGCAGGTTTTCACTTCCTTACAAATAGTCGGAACAAGATCACTGAAATGTATTTTTATTGATTGGTTTGAAGAGACCCTTTTGGAAGGTGAATTAGTCAGACAATAATGAAAGCACTAAATAAGTTTGGTTTTTTAAATGTAGAAATAGATACTAGGTATTAGAGATCTGAAAGGGCAAGAGGAGCAGCAACAGGCCATAGCTATTGGCTTTAGATTGGGAGAACAAATGGGAGAAGGTTGTGTTATCGGAATTTAGGAGTGGACAGTAGGGGTTACTATATAGAGAGTCTGCCAAAAAAATATATGCACATGCTTCAGGAAAAGATTAACTTGTATAAATATTTTAGTATTAAATTTATTGAGATATAATGAGATTAATTTAGCTTACTTTAGTCTTTACAATTACAAGAGGTTCTCAAAGTGGTGTTCATTAGCTTCCAGATATTTATTAGTAAACTATGCTAATAAGTTTGGGTAACCTTGGTCACTGAGAGTGCAGAATATGCATTTCCAATGTCTTATCTAAGGGCTGGGCAGTATAGTGGGTTTTCTGTGATATATCACATCTCTAGGGTTTCGCATACAGGCGTAGCACCATCTATTGAAAAAAATAATGTACTCATTTTTTTCCTGAGGTGTGTATATATATATATATTTGGTAGTCTCTGTAG